AGAAACAGATCTACACATACTATCAACTGACTTTCAACAAAGATGCCAAGGTAATTCATTGGGGAGAGTCTTTTCAACAAATAGTGCTGGAACAATTAGATAATCACAGAGGGGGAAAAATGAACCTCACCCTTATCTTAAACCATACACAGAAATTAACTTGAAATGAATTGTGGACATATATGTAAAAGCTAAGTGTATAAAACTAATGGAAAAGAATAAAAAAATTAATGAGATTTTGGGATATTGAAGAATTCATAGAATGGATAGTAAATAGACCATAAAATAAAAAATGCAATAAACTGGACACCAACAAAATTCAAAACTGTATCCCTCTTAAAGATGAACATTAAGCAAATGAAAAGTAAGCCAAAGATATGGAGGAAATATATACAATACATATATCTAAGAAGGGACCTGTGTCCAGAAAACACAAATAACTCTCACAACTCAGTAAAAAGAAGATAAATTACCTAATAAAAACACAGGCAAAGATGGGAAAGAGATGTCACACAAGAAGGTGTACAGATGGCAAATAAGTACAAGAAAAATATGTTTAGCATTCACTGTCATCAGAGACCTGCAGTTACAACCCCAAGATACCACTACACATCCACAGATATGGCTAAAATTAAAAACTGCAGCTCCACGTGTTGGCCAGGATGTGGAGCAACCAGAACCTTCATACATGGCTGATGGGAATAGCAAATGGAACAGCCACTTTGGAAAAGTTACTTTCTTTAAAAATTAAATGTTATCTCATATGATAACCAAGCAATTCTAGTTCTAACTAATCACTCAAGAGAAATGAAAACAAATGTCTACACAAAGACTTGCACACAATGAAGCTTAATTTGTTGTTACAAATTAGTGAGAAGTGATTTCCAAACTGGAAACAACTCAAATACTCATCAATAGGTGAGTAAATAAACAATAATGATCCTATATAATAAAAGGCTAATATGCAAATAGACCGAACAGCAGAACCAGAACAACCAAACTGCTGGTGGCTATGATGTGCGCTGACCACTAGGGGTATGTGTGGAACATGGCGGGCGCTGGTCGCAGCGGGATGGTAGACCAGGTGAGCAGGGGCACCAGACCAAGGTGGGGCGCTGGTCACTGTCACTGGGTGGGCCTCTGGTGGTTACCGAAAACTCTTTGCTCCCAAGCAACATGGTCCCACCCGGTGCTCGCACTTGCTGCCAGTGCTGGCCCCGCTCGCACCCGGAGCTGCTGCTTGCACCCATTACCAGTGCCCAGCACTGGTCCTGATTACTCAGCACCATCAGCAGGTGCAAGTGGCGGCTGCCAGCCCTGATTGCCCCTGAAGGCTTCCCCACACCCCCCCTTGCTCCTGAGGGGCGATCGGGGCAGCAGCCACCATTCATACCCACTGATAGCGCTGGTCCCGCTTGCACCCGCTGCTGGTGCTAGCCCCAATCGCTCTGCACTATCAGCGGATTCCAGCGGGGCTGGCACTTCAACTCATGGGAGTGACAGCAGCAGGAGCGGGGCTGCCGGCAGACGGGAGCAGGGGCCGCAGTAGGAGGGGCCAGGTGGGGGCGTGGAGGATGGGTCGAGACCTACCCCTGTGCCTACCACAGCCTTGTGGCCCACAGTTCCTTTCAGGGTGCACAAATTTGTGCACTGGGCCCCTAGTATATTCATAAAATGTGGTACTATTCAGCAACAGAAAGGGACAAACTACTGACACATGCAACAACAGGGATGAATCTCAAAAATATCACGCTGAACAAAAGAAGCCAGATAAAGAGTACTTAATATGTGATTCCAAAAAACACACACAACCAAATAACTAAAATTTGTATGGAACTACAAAATACCCCAAATAGCCAAAGCAATTATGAGAAAAAATAATAGAGCTGGAGGCAACACATTTCCCCCCCCTCCCCAACCCCCATCTCTGGACTCTCACTTCTCACTAATCCTAACACCACCCCCATTTTCTGTATGACACCAGGTCTCTAGAAATTCCACAGACTGATGTCAGGTTCTTATGACACTCAGGGACATCAGGCAGCCTGGCTCCCTGCTTCTAGCTCAATGGACAATAAAGGCTATCTGAAATCACACATAGGTACCTGCCACCCCTCCTCCCCCTTCCTAAGCCCCTGCTATGTTCACTGCCATAGCTCAGGCCAGTGACACTGGGGATGAAGGACACAGCCTGGACTTGGGGCAAGGAGCTCCCAAGTTCAGATCTGGGCTCTGTCGCTTGCTCTGTGATCTTAGGAAAGGTTAATCTATTGGAGATTCAGTTCCTACCCTCTAACTCACAAAGGTCACCGAAGGTGAATAAATTAATGATTGGAAAGCATTCACCCAGAACTTGGCAGTGATCGGCCCTTAGGAAATGTTAAACAAATCTGAGTCCAACTGTGCTGAGGCCACGGGAGTAAGTGGGGTGGGGTGTAAAAAAACCCTCTTGGCTATTGACTATGGACATCATATTAGACATTCGGTTTGTTTTATAATCTCCCTCTCTGCTACATGCAGATCCTTGAGGGAACACGAGGCCTAAGACCGAGAGATCAGGAAGAAAAATAAAGCCCTTTAGAGTAGAAGTATCCATCCATTCAACAGTTATATTGCACCTACTATGTACCAGGCTCTATGCTAGACTCTGGGTGTTCAGCAGTGATCAGGACAGATAAGGCCTCACTCTCAGGAGGTCCCCACTGTGCGAAGCTCACATTAAAAGCGACACGTAACCAAATCTAAGAAAATAGCTCCAAGACATCTAAGTATCATGAAGGAAAACAAATATAGAGTGAGAGGTGGAATAACAGAGGAACGCTTACTTTAGACAAAACCTCTCGGAGGTGGATGACATTTAAGCTGAGATCCTAAAGACGGGGAGGAGCCAGCTCATCACAGGGCAGAGGGAGGGAAGAGCAGGTGCAGAGATCTGCAGGCACAAAGGGTGTGGTGTGCTCCAGGAGCTGTGGGATCAGCAGAACTCCTTTGAAGAGGACGGATGTGTTTCACCATGAGAACAGAGCACGTGGATGGGGTGGGAGAGCCCCAGGCAGCGGGACGGAGGTCTGAGAGTACAGGGTCCGTGGTGAGGAGTCCGGGTTTGCTCTAAGCCACTGACCGCAGCCAGGGAGCGACATCGTGGGCAGTGCCAGGAGAGACGGACAGCAGTGTACATGTTGGAAGTACACTTTGAAAGGAGAATAGGCAGGCTGGTTTTAATATCTAAAGTGTCAGAGCTGGAAATAATCTCACACCCACCAAATTCACCTCCCATTGTTACAGGAGGGGAAACCGAGGCCGAGAGAGGGAACATGCCCAAGCAAGGTCAGAGGCAGAGCCGGGCCGAGGACCCTGGACGGCCAGGGTGGTCCTCCCTGTGGCTCGGGCCATGCTTGAGGCAACAGACACGAGAGGGTCCGCTCTCCACTGACTTCACTCACGGAAACGTTTACTCTGAAAACAGGGGCTGCGGCCTCCACGGAGCACAAACACCCTCCCCAGGTGAGTGGGACACTGCGCTTTTCCTGGGAAACGGAAGTTTTGGCTCTCTTCCTCCGCAGCCCCGGGCAAGGTCCTGGGAGAGCACAGACCTATCCTGAGATCCAGGCCAAGTCTCCTGGACACAACTAAGGGCAGAGCCAGCGATGATGGTGATGGAACAGGGCGCTGGCAAGGTGGCACCTGCCCCCTCCCCTGCTCACTGAGGGCATGTTGCCCTGAGCCTCGGCCGGGGGGAGGGAGGTGGGCCAGCACCAGTGCTTCCGGGGAAAGGAGGTGGCTCTGCTCGCTAACAGCAGTCCTTACAGACGTTTCTGTCACTATCTAGTTCATCCCTAATGAACTATTTTGATCCCACCAGGATCAGTGGCCCCGGGGGCAGTGCTTCCGAGCATCCGCTACCCAGGCACCAGCCAGAGAGGCCCCGAGAGGCCAGGGGCTGGCCTTTTGGCCCTGACATGCTGAGGACCTTCCCATCTGAGCCTCTGCCAGCCAGGTGGGGGCTTGGCAGGGGGCACTGTCCCTCCTGTATAGAACTGCTTCCTCCTTGCTGAAATGATAAGCTTTAGGGCTCATTGTGTGTGTGTGTGGGATTAGCACAAAAAAAAAAAGAAGAAAAAAAAAAGACAAAAAAAAAAAAAAAATAAAGACTGATGTGTCTTGCCATGAGACCGAGGGTAGGAAGCCAGAGGAAGCCCTGGGCCCAGAGAAATCCGGAAGTGCTCTTAATGGCATCTTGGGAGGGGGATAAGGAACAGCTTGACATCTCTCCCAGGAGTAGGGACCTAGGGTGCTCATCCCCAGCCACCCTGCGTCTGTGCCCCGGAGCCTGGACCTACAGCTCTGAAAGCATCTGCCGAGCCCTTCTCAGAGAGAGGAGCCCAGGGGAGTGGCCTAAGCTAGAGGGGGCAGAGGGCTGGGCTCAGCTAAGGCTCTGCACAGAACGGTCTGGGTGTAGGCCCTGACGATAGAACATTTGAGAAGGAATGCCAGCCTGGCCTTGAGGGAGGCTGCTAATTAAAGAGTCCCAGAAAGAAAACAGCCCTTCCCAGAAGGCTTCCCGGAGGAGCTGGTCCACAATGGAACGAGGGTGCGGACAGGGAGCTCTCTTGGGCAACTCAGGGGAACAAGGCAGTGAGGCCAGGAGGGTGAGGTGTGAAGGCCAGCTGGTGTGGAGGTTCTGGTCAGTAAGTCGGAAAAAGAAAGGCAGGGCCTGAGACTGAGAGAATCGTCTAGGCTGCTGGTCAGGGGAAGGCCTTTTGAGCCTAGGGCAAGACTGCTGAGCTGAGCTGTTCTCCCACGGGCGAGGTCCCAAGGCAGCCAGGCACATAGTATGAATGGAGGAGAAAGTAGATTCCCACTGTGGGCTAAAGAACATCTGCTCCTGAAAGAAGATGAGCCACTGGACATGGCTGAGCCTCTCAGAGCTCAACTGCCCGGCCTGCTAAACAAGAGTCTGCAGCAGCTGCCTGCAGGGCGGCGAACAGAACCATGGTGTCTGGTCCCTGCCCAGCAGCACGTAGCCACCGGGCATGAAGGACAGTCATTCAGGAAGGGCTCCGCTGCCTTCCAACTGCCTGGCCTTCGGGGAGATGCCTTCTCCTCCAGGAGCGTCTAACCCAAGGGGCACCCCAGGGCCTGCCTGTGAGCAGAGATGGAGGACGGACAGTGGGGGCCTCAGTTCCAAAGCAAACAGTGTGCTGAGGCAACACCGACCATGCCTTTCTTTACCTTGGCAATCTCATGCCCACACTAAATATAGATGCCGGTGCAGAACGGGCATTTGCCTGCTGCCACAGAATTGGCACAGTCCAACTTACAGCAGAAGGGCACAGTGTTAAGACTCTAGAAGCTTTTCACTATGTGATGCTGGAATCTCAAGTTCCTTTCTGGTTCAGATTGAGCGGACATCTCCCACTGCAGGTGAGGATGACAGCCGGCCTGGCAAGGGGCGCGGTTCTGCCAGCTGGACAGACACGCAGCTTTTCACCAGGGGAGAAGGCACCGAGGCCCATGGCCCGGCCCAAGGCTTTCCTCTGGTCAGTACTTTTCCAGCCCCGACAGCTGTAATCCTTGACTTTTCCTTTGTGGCTGCACTTTTCTGATGGTAGGAAACCTGGGCCTCAAGATGTGCTCCGAGTTTTTTAACTGGCTATCATTTGAAAGAGCTTAAGAATTGAAGAACAAAATAGAAAGGGTAGTTTGTTTTCTTAATAAATATTTTTTAAAATCCATTTTATAAACAGTTTAGAGTTTTCTGCTCCTAATTTTTTTTTTTCTCTTAAATTTTCTCTTCTCTTTCTTGGTTCGTTGATAAACAACAGGCACCAAGTTCAGAAGGCTGTATTTTTGTTAACAGAGAAGAACAAATATGGCTTCAAAAAATAACATCTTTAAAGAATCAGTTCCACATATTCCCTCCCAACTCTTCTATCTCAGAAAGTCATTTTTAATGACCGTTCTTAGTCATTTCAGAAAAAGAGTTTCTGCTTCAATGTATTTATGTGATGGCTATTTTTACAGAGTGGGACTTTTCTCACTGGCCCCACACTACCTTGAGAAGAAGGAAAATGAAAGTTCATGTTGGGAATAATATCAAACCCAAGCAGAAGAATAACAAAGAGTATGGGCCTACCTCTTTAAAATCACACTTAAAAATCACTTTATCTTTCTTAATAAATTATTGCAAGCTGGACTGGGGAAAAATAATTCCAGAGGAGGTTTACAATATAAATAACTGCACAGAGATCATTTTCTTTGTTTTCGTTGGCACAGGTCTCGCTGAGTTTAAATGAACACGCGCAGCGATGATGAAAGGAGCCGGAGAGGAGAGCTTGGGGGATAAACAGCTCCGTGTGGCCACCAGTGATTGAGACACTCCCAGTCCCATGGTCCTACGGGCGGCACAGTGTGTGTGGGGTGGCGTGGGGGGAGGTGTGGGGGCGGGGTCCTGTCTGCCCTCTGACCCACAGGAGGCAGCAATTCTAGGTTACAGACTCCACTCTGGAGTAAAGAGCACTGGTTTCTGCTCTGCCCGAAGGCACCCCTCCTGGCTGACCCAGTGTCAGGCTGGGGCCTGTTCTTCTCCCCACCCCTCTGGTTAGCATCTGGGTACCTGGTGTGTGTGTGTGTGTGTGTGTGTGTGTCAGTGCTGACACTGGGAACTAGGAAATGTATATAGGCGACTAAATAAAACTCTGAGTCTCCACCAAAGCCCTTTTACTCTGTTAACAAAATAGCTCATTTTTATTTTATTTTTTTTGCCTGTCAGACTCTGTGGTAAACACGGCTCATATTATCTAGATCCATGTTCACCCCACAGGGAGAGGGGTGTTCTCATTAACTTTAGGGGAAAAACCATGTTCTTCTAATCCCTGACTCTAGCGCCCTCTCTGACCAGTGGTTCTCAACCTTCTTAATGCCTCGACCCTTTAATACAGCTCCTCATGTGGTGGTGACCCCCAACCATAAAATTATTTTTGTTGTTACTTCATAACTGTAATGTTGCTACTGTTAATGAATTGTAATGTAAATATCTGTGCTTTCCGATGGTCTTAGGCGACCTACAGGCTGAGAACCGCTGCTGTAGAGCCTAAGACCATTGAAAAACACAGATATTTACATTACGATTCAGCTAAGCAACTCACAGTACTTAGCACCAATGAAGGCTCAGTCAATCATGCATAAACCAATAAATCATGCTAGAGAAATGTTTGTTGAATGGAAGAAAAGAAGTCCATTCTTAGCAGCAGTGATTCACACACACTGTGTAAATACTCTCCTTGAATTTTGATCTCAAGCATCCTCAGGAAGGACCCTCCCTCCCGCAGTGCCAGAAGGCCCTCATAGCACCTGGCACAGGAGGCTCAGTGAGAGACTGGTCTGAATGTTGGTATAAAATTTTATCTTTTCAGTTCACTAAGTCTTAACAAGTGAACACTTTCTAAGCGATGATTCTTGGGGGGAGGAGGGGGTTAAATAATTAAATTTCATCACTAAATTAGAAACCAACGAAGTGTTTAGAACACTGTTTGGCATACAGTAGGCACTCAATAAATGTTAGCTGCTGCTGCTGTTATTATTAAACCATTTTAAACTATTTAAGAAACTTCGAAATGCTATGTTCAGTGAGAGCCAACACACAGACTTGTGAGCCAGGTGACTGTTCCTCGGGCTTAAGGACATCTATAAGTGGGTGAGTTCTGTTAGTGCCATCCAGCCAAGGACAGGGAGGGTGGAAGGAGGAGGGCAGTGCTGTGAAGAAGGTGCTTGGCCTCCCTATTCAGGTTGCACCCCAGCCCGCTCACACACAGGCTGGGAGGTAAGTGACAAGCATGAGGTGAGAGTAAGGTCCCCTCCTGTTCTTAGGTCACATCCCCCCCAACCCCCCAGACGAACAGGAGTTCCAGGTCCCCAAGCTCACATTCTTCCTTGCCTTCCCCCCTTCTCCATTTTCCCCAACCCCTTCATGGGCAGTATGCCTTGCACAGCAATGCCTGCCTCTGAGTGCCTGGCTGAGTCAGTACAACTAGGTTTTAGTTTTCACTCTGGGGGAGAGGAAGTCTGCCTACCTACCTCCAGTCCTGTAGGGAGGGGACACTCTCAGGGAGCATGGGGAGAAAGGCAGTCTTAATTTTAAAGAGTAAAACAGATGTGGAGACATTATTTGCTATTTAGGAAGAGTTGGAGGAACACAGATCATGGCTAAATGGGGGTCCCTGATAGAGATGGGGATTAGGAGGGCAGAGGTGATCTCAGAGGAGGGGCACGTTTCATGATGAGGTCTGGATTGCGTGCTGGCTGGGAAGAAGTTGAATTTTTCTTGCATTTCTGTTTTCAACAAAAGCAAATTATTACTTCATAATTCAGCTTCCAAGTTCCTCAGAAAACTGATGAAAGGAAGTCTGGAAGCGACTCCTAGGCCAAGACACAGCTCAGGTCATTATGGTTCTTTAAATTCCAAAGGTTGCAATTCCTAAAAAGTTTACCTTACAGTGTTCAACACATCGACTGGCAGCACGTTCCACAGAAGGAAGCCTGCAGACACACACCCGGCATTTTTTCTGCTGAGAACATGCTGCTGCTTGCAAGGTCTCGCTCGCCCTGTGGGCTGCTCTGACAAATGAATTAATTGTTCAAAGCAGACAGAGTTTGTTTAGTCATGTCTGCTGAGGTGGGAAGGGTATTACAACACATCTGCGCTGGCAGCCAGTCCTTAGGCCTGCCTCGGAGCCAACCCCCTCCAGCCAGAGAGAGCGGCATCACCACAAAGCCAATGCACACCTGCCCCACTGCTTTCACATTAAAAAGAAGAGCGCGTGAGAGGGTCTATGGGCTCTTCTCTTTCACCAGGGAGGATGGTGAAGCTCAGTCATTGTGAGGATAAGAGCAGGTAAGCCAGGTTGACTGACTGTCACAGAGACATCTTGGGCCCAGTAACCTAGGGTGCAAACCCAGACTTCTCACCCAGGCTGTCTTTGGAGGTGCCCCTGAATATGACCCTCAGGTTCTTAATTCACAGTCCTTCCTTCCACTCTCTTCATGTGCCCTCTTGCCTGCCACACTGGATTGTTCCCATGTCACCTGGATTTCAGTGCTTTCAATGCAGTATTTCGCTTCTCTGAAAGGTCCCCCAGGCCCACCTCTGCAATTCCTGTCTGTGCTGCAGGAAACCTGGCCCCACCTCTCCAGTCCCCATTGGCCTTCTGAGTGGTTATGTAGTTAGGAGTCCAACAACATTTAATTTATGACTTCTCTTCTGTGTGTCCTTGAATTGGGATTCTATTCTTGTAATGTTGTTTTTAACTTTCTACAAGTACTTTGTTTTATCTTCCCTCCTGGACTATGCATTAGCTTGTGGTGCCAGGGATAAGCCTTGTTTACTATAGTCTTTCAAGGCTTCTGGCAATGGCGGGCACAGAGGGGTACGCGACCACCTGACTTAAGATAAATGACTGTGAGCTCCCTGAAGGCAGGAGAGATGACTCATGTTTTTGTAAGGTAAGTGCCACTAAAAACTTTGATATACCTGGACATATTAGCAGTCTGATACCTGCTGATTTAATAACAGCAGCTCAATAAATATCTGTTGAATGAAGTCAACAATCTTATGGGTTGAAAACAAGATTCAGTACAGAAAACCTTGCCTTGTAAAATGATAACCTTTTAAGCAGAACCTTACTTCATTAATGAGCTCCTTCTCTTTGCTATGCATATCCCCCAATCGAGAAGCACCAGAAAGCCCCCAGCTCAAGTAGAAATGACTACATGGGTGATCTTTGAGCAACAGGCAAAGCGAGCCGGATGCCATCAATAGGTAGACAGTGTCAGAATTAAGTTCAATGGTAGGACTCCCCTTTGGTGTCTGCTAATAATTGGAGAATTGCTCAGTGTGGGGAAAAATACCTCCACGTTTGGAAGATTCTGTGAATATGGAAAAATAGTTCTTCCTTTCACTGAGTCTAGTAGTCAACTATCACAATAGCATTTTAGATCCTCAAAATAATCTTGTGAGAGAGGCAGAATTTTATATGTGAAAAAATAAAGGCTAAAAAATTTCTCGGTATATGGTCTTCTGATTCAAAATTGGCTATAACTAGATATCATACTGGCTGCATAAAAGATGTAATCCACCAACAAACAAGTGCGCACCTATGAAATGTGAGGTCCAGGGAGTAAAATCCCACAAAGGACTGACTGTGGACTTGCTGTGAGGAGAGAAGAGGGATACCTTGTTTCTGACCCTCATAAAACATGCCAATGTAAGACCTGAGCAGACAGGAATAAATGCCCCAAATCCCACCCCAAATCTTGAGACAGCTAGGAACAAGACAGAAAATATGGGGTTTGTTTCTTTATTGTTTTAAGCTTCTGCTCACTCATAATGAAAAGTCGTTTTCTTAGTGATCTGTAAAGTACAAAACATCACCTGCAAGATGAGAGGATGGTGGGGGATCTGCTAGACTCAGAATGCATGGTATTTATTAGTAGCATTAAAAACAGACTGCACATTCTTGAGTAGAATTCTTCTGCTTTTCTGAGAAACGTGTAGCAGCCGCCACCATTTCATGTGATGCTTTCCCATTTCTATAGTATGCCGTAACTGCAGGGAAACCCGTACAGCGTTCTAGCGTTCCCACGTGGGATTCCCAGCAGGGACAGGAGTGGGATGGCCTGCTCTGTTGGTGGTTGCAAGGAAACAACTTCCTTCAGCTTATAAGCTTCAAATTCAGCTTAGCTCTGCCACAGTTAACCCAGGGGGACCAGGGGAACCGGGAGCCTGCCCGGTAGACAATCAGAGGAAGGGCACACACAACAGTGGAGAGCTTTGGGTTCCTTTTGATGGATATATTCAAGGAAGAAAAATAGAGAATGTTTCAAACTGCTTTTGAACTGAGACTTTTAAAAATTGTTTTTGCCTGTTTGGGCCTGGAGCTACATACTTTAAAATGATAAAAGCAGTTCTTTCAACTCAACTTTAAATCAGAGTTCCCACAGCTAGTGTCAACATGCAGAAGCCCTATGGCTGGAAAAGGAAGGGGTAGGGGCTGGGCAACGAGGTGTTGCAGTGAGTACCAGACAAGTGGAAACACAAAGTTTTGTGTGCAACCGAGGCCGCTTTCTCTGTCCTGTGCCCAGGATTTGGTTGGTATCCCTCCCTTCTTTTTCAGTTTTCCATGTTAGCTGGATTTACCCACTGCTGTTTTGGCTATAATCAGAGATCAAGTGTGGTATAATTATTCTAACATCACAGGGTGCAGCTTTGTTTCCAGAGCCGACACTTAAAAACTTTTCTTACTTGCTCAGTGCCAATATCACTAGAGCACTTCGTTTAGAGTATGAGAAAGGAAATCAGAACCAGGGCGATGCTGTAAATCAGGTTTCACCTAGACCCTGCCCTCTCAAAGGCAAATCCACATTAATGACAGATTTCCCCATTTAGGGCAGATTTCCCCATTCCTCTAAGTCAGACATTGGGAGTACTTCACCTCTGTCTAAAGGTAGACTGGGGACAGTCATGCATACGGTCAAAATTAAATAACATCCTCCCTCAAGGCCTAGAGAGAGGCTAGCTGACTGTGCCTTATACTGTATGTGATGGGTCACCAGGAAAGGGTAAAATAATCTTTGCCTAAGAATTTTATGGAAGTCACTTTAACAAAATTGAACATCCCCCTGCCCCTGCTGCCCCAAGAATGAGGAAAGAAAGATACTAGAATTTTAGTTTATAGGCCAGACATTTACAAAACCATCATCAACTTGGGGATGTTCTCAGGAATGACTTAAGTTGGGCATTATAAACACCCGAGGAAGCGTTTCCTATATATATAACACAAAATCATGTCAGCATTTACAAGATACTTTACAAAGTGTGATCACGTGCTTTCATTAGCCCCTCTGAAAAGCCCTACAAGGTTTCGGTCTGTCCACTGCGCAGGTGAGAAAACAAGGCTGCAGGAGGAACAGGGAGTGCCTTGGGGCCACACGGCTGACAGGTGGCATGCTGGGACTTGACCTCCACTTTGTTTGATCCTAGATGCAGAGCTGTCTATTAATTTGTGAAAAGGAGACTTCAAACGCCGAATCAAAACAGCGTGGGTGTTCACAGTCTGCCTCCATCTCCTACAGCCCGCCACTGACACCACTATGCAGGAACAGCGGACTCAGAGTAGAGGACGCACAGTGAGCATTCAATAGGCTGGGTGAAGGTTGTGGTTTGTTTGAATTAGTCATAGTCACATGGAATTGCTCATTAAACACTATTTTGATAGAATTTAGTCTAAATTCCATTAACAGTCATATCTGTTGCCTTGAGGCCTACCTCTGTTCCACGGCCCTCCTGGCCCTGCTCAGCCCCTCACAGGAGTGTCTCAGTGGCCTTGCCCAATCTCTGGTGATTCACTCACCCAACCTGCAGAGCTGTGAACTCCATGAGGATCATCCATTTGTCTGATTGGTTAGAAAGTCCTGAGCTCATTCAGGAATTCCCCAGTGCCTCCTACCACCAAATCATCTTCTAAATTATTGTCAACTCACCTTTAGTTAGGAAAAGGGAGTGAAAACACAAAAGAGTGGGAAGTTCTAAAAACACACAACTCTTGGCTTTAGGATGTCAGAGTTCCCTGACACACCACCAAAGAGATCTAGCAGTCTCAGGTATGGCTTAACCCTTCAACATCTTTCAATGAAGATGACTAGATGAAAGGAAATAAATGGGCTTGGGAAGCATAAAAATCTCTTCTTCCCAAGAACAACCTTGGACTGCTGTGGTGAAGGGCGTGGGTCCTGAAGATAGACAGATCTGAAATGGAACCTTGCTCAGACGCTTATTAGCTGTTGATCTGGGGACAAGTCATGTAAGCTCTTTGTCCCTTTCTATAAAATGAGGACAATAGTGGTAGGTACCTCATGGGGTAGCAGTGAAGACTAATGACATCAAGAGTTAGGACAATACCAGTAGGCATGCAAACACTGATCCACTTCATTAGTGTTGTCAGTAGCAGCAATCTAGAGTCAATGAAAAATTCCCCATGAAGTTTCCCCAGATGGCCATGCCAAGGTGATCCCATGGCAGGCCATGGCAGTAGGTTAAAAGAAACCTGTTGGGTACAGTCTTGCATCAGAGGGTCTTCAATGCCCCTCATTCAGCTTGCTCCTTCCTGCTAACCTGCCATGCTGTGTGCCTTTTCCCTGATCTAGAATTTCCACCTATTCTTCTCTATCACATATCTATAATCTCTGTGATGTGTCTCTTAGCCACTCTTTTCCAGGTCAGTCCCAGCCAAACTCTGATTTCACTGTACTTCGTTAACATCTAGCATGTGCAGCCACCGTTCTCATCTATCTAGCTGTTTCATGTATTATTATTGGCCTTTACAGCTCATTACTACTAATTAGAGGCCCAGTGCACGAATTCATGCACAGGTGGGATCCAGCCCACCCTGATCGGAGCTAATGGAGACCAGCCAGCTTGGGGGAGGGGCTGCAGGAGGTTGGCCCCGAGTCCCACACCCAATTGGGCAGGTTGGCTGGCTATAGAGGGTGTCATAGCGACCAGTCATTCTGGTGGTTTGGCTTTTATATATATATGTGGCAACTAGTGCTTTACAGACCTCAAATGTGTTGCACCTATTATCTCATGCTCTATGATCTGTTGGGACTAGCTCCCCAAGACCTCTGTTAGGCAGACATATTACCATCATCCCATGTTACAAAGAAGGCAACCATGAACCCAACAGTCTATAGCTGCCTGCTCTGTTCTTTTCCCTCTCCAATCCCCACAGGAACAATAGCCCCATCTTCCCTACTCACACACTTTAGGCTAACATGGCAGCCTTAAGTACTAGAAAATGCTCACTTGCTTGTAGAATATTGATCCCTTAGAAAGAACTCAAGCAAAAAAAAAAAAAAAAAGGAAAAAGAAAAAACTCAAGCAACTGTGCCTAATTCTCAGGGGCCACAGGAGAGAAGATGTGAGGTAAAGGATTGATTACCTCCCACCCACTCACCCTTGCCTGCCTTCCCTATGAGATTACACTAAATGCTGACTTTTTAAAGAGGGGGGAAAAACACGTCCCAAACACATTGTTTGTTACCAATAAGCTGAGACCCTGATCCACAGAGTGATTTCCATAATCAAGTGTACCAGGTCATTGCATTTGCTGCTGCAAGGTAAGAGGGCAACCTCAGAGGTGCAGAGTCTGTGTACTAAGGTCCTGCTCTCACTACATGCTTGTTATTTGTTTTGTGGCCATATACTTCCCTTGTCTGTGAGCTCCTCCAGGGCAGAAGCCTGTCTTCCTCATGCTTATTTCCCCTGCCTGTTACAGTGCCTCGTATAGCAGCTACTGTTAGTAGCCATAAGAGCTAATGTTGGACAGGCGCTTATTACTAAGCTGCAAGCCAAAGCTTGTATAGGCATTATATCTCTTTACTCCTTAAAATGTCCCGATGAGGTCAGGTGGATGTATCATTTCCACTTGTTTACTGAATGAATTTTTTTTTTTAAAAAAGGAGGATAGTGGCATTTCAGACTTATTAGTTTTCTAATATTGCTGGAGAAGGGATTTCAACTTGCGGTGCCCCAATCAAAGTAGAGCTGCATGCTTAGAGTAGCATAGGGTGGAGCTGCTTGAAGTGGGTTCAAATCCTATCTCTGTCCCAAAGCTGTGTGACTCTGGGTAAGTTTACTAAATTCACTGACTCATTTCCTTTGCCTCACAAGATTTTTATGAAAACTAAGTACAGTCATGTGCAAAAAATGTCAAGCACATAGCTGCCACTTGGGTATCAGATAGGATCCCTCCTTCCTTTCTTTACTCACTGCAAGATCGGCATAGCCTCAAGCTGTATAAATGTGGTCCCAAACCTACTTCTACTTAAAAATGCCCCAAAACATTGTGCCATCTGAAAGAGGGGAGGGGAAGGAGAAAGTGAATATAATCGGTTTGAAACAAAAAAGTATTTAAGGTAGAATAAAATAGAATAAAAAAAACTGCTCACCAACTGAATTCAATGATATTGTGAGCATGACCACAACACAGCCTGCACCCATTTTATCCGTCTGCGTTGAGAAAGAGAGCTGGCTGTGTTACTTCTCAAGTCTATTCTAAGAACTGCATTAGGACAAATGCCGAGTAAGATTCACTATCCACAAATATTCCGCCAAGGAAGCAGGGGGTCTAAAATAATTACCTCTATCTACATATTTATCATTAAAATAGGGGTTATAGAGAACCCAAGATGGCAGTGTAGGTAAACACATCTAAACTGCGGCTGTGCACAACAATTTCAAAACTACAACTAAAAGACAAAATGTCTATCACCCAGAGCCACGGGAGGGCTGGCTGAGTGGAAGTTCTATAACCAAAAGGAGAGAGGGGAGCATTCAGTGCACAAATGCTGAAAAACTAAGGCACGGGGGCATGCGATATGGGCTGGCAGGGGCGTTGCTTTCTTCAACCCAAAGGGGAGACGTGCGAGACCCAAACTCCTACGGGGAGAAGCTGGACTGTCTGCCATTGGGTCGAAAAGTGAGGGTGGCTGGCTTGCAGAGCTGTGTGAAGGAATAATCATTTGCTGCGCTGGGGCATGAGACAAGGAGACAAGGTCGGAGGTGTGAGATGGCTCACTGCCAGCCATTGCTGTTTGCCATGCCCTAGCCCACTGACATCCTGAGACTCCACCCCGCACAATCTACAAACACACCTAAGCTCCAAGCAGCAGCTTTCACATATGAATGGCCTTCGTTACTGCTAACTTGCAAACCAGTTCAGACAGCTCCATAATCCAAGCAGGGAGGAGAGGACTATAGTTCTTGCTGTAGCTCCTGCAGGGTGACCTCAAACGGTAGCTGACCTGTACCCCACTGGAGATCCAGAAGCCAGTGTACCTAGTGGTCAGTGTGAGACACAGATTTCAACTCCTCACATCCATAACTGCCACATTCAAGAGGCAGACTCAGTGAGCACCAAAGCCCCACTAAAACAAGCCTTGCACCATAAGCGTGTCTCCAGTGCAGCAGTTCTTTTATTATAAACACAGCAGGTCCCCACAGCCAATTGGCCTGGAGGACAATCCCTCCCAGGGTACCAATTGCAATCAAGGCTTAACTACACTAAGACTTTGCACTCAGCCCACTAAGGGGTGTACTAAGACTGTCCACCTTGGGTGATTGGGGAGGCTGAGCTACTGGCCCCTGTAGGTCACCTACCACACAAAACCACTCCATCAACACAGGGAGGCAGCCAAAATGCGGAGACACAAAGGCATGTCGCGAAAGGGGACAATGGAGGAAAGCAAACTATGGGACAACATGGAGTTCAGGACCACATTTATAAGGTTACTTAAGAATCTTCTAAAAGCTGTTGAGAAACTTGATGAGACCTTCAAGGACCTTAATGAGAATGCCTCCTCGGCCCCCCTCACCCCCCAAAAAATAATAATAAAATAAAAATGAAAAAGGACCAGTCAGAAATTAGGAATACACTGTCTGAAATAAAGAATTTACAGAAACTCTATTGTAAATTAACGTACCGCTAGAATCAAACCAAAGATCTAAAATACGAGGAAACAAAAAACACCCAACCAGAAAAACAAAAAGAAAAAAGGATCCAAAAATATGAAGATAATGTAAGGAGCCTCTGGGACAACTTTAAGCATACCAACATCCAAATTTTTGGGGTGCCAGCAGGAGAGAGAAAGCAAAATATTGAAAACCTATTAGAAGAAATAATGACAGAAAACTTTCCCACCTGGTAAAAGAAATAGACTTACAAGTTCAGGAAGCGCACAGAACCCCAAACAAGAGGAATCCAAAGAGGACCACACCAAGACACATTATAATTAAAATGCCAAGGGCAAAAGACAAAGAGAATCTTGAAAGCAGCAAGAGAAAAACAGTAAGTTACTTACAAGGGAGTACCCATATGACTGTTAGTTGATTTCTCAACAGAAACTATGCAGGACAGAATGGAGTGGTAAGAAATATTCAAAGAAATGAACAGCAAGAACCTACAACCAAGATTGCTTTACTCAATAAGGAACTATTTGTCATTGAAATTGGGACTAAAAAGGACTGTTGGCCCAGAAAGGAACTCACTACAGACTGATTCATTTGCCTCTCAGCATAACCATTATGGCTTGTCTAAGTTTAGGTTCTTGCAAGGGTATTTCTTAGATCA